ATAATGCAAGTGTTATGTAAGGTTCTCTTTTTGTATCTCTTGTCGCGAATTAAAGATTTTTCGCAAAATGCAAAAGTAGTTGTTTAGAAGTATCTACAGTGTAATTTCAAAATTTCTGTTTTACAGTATTTTCTATAGCGGCATAGGAAAAACTAATTTGCTTATGTCGCAATATGTTAGTGCAACGTTAAGGAAACACGTGGCTAGTAAACGCGTATTGAAATAATTGATTCCATCGTCAGATACCCCCGGTATAATAACATGTAACGTGTAATCAACCATGGGTAAATTGAATCAAATTGCTTCGATATACATCAGCTGGTGCGTAAAATATCGATCATTTAAATCGTGTTCAGCAAGATTTATATTTTTCGACAGCAAAGGTAAACAACCATAAGAAACTAAATAGCAGCTCCCATGGTTTAAACCTATTTCACGTGTCTTGCCAATATAAGAGGCAAAACAATTTCCAAATTAAATTATTCCACAAGCACAGAGCACAATAGTAATATTTTTTCTAGAATTAACAATTCAGCAAACGTCAAATAGAACGAGCGTTTTGATTGGTCTTAATCTCCTCATGAAATCTTGAGGCAACCAATGAAAAAGCTGTCATTGTCACACCTTTTATCAACTGAAAACCGGCGAAAACTCCCACGGCTGATAACAGTCAATGGTTCGGTCATGGGAAAACGGCCAAAATTGATTAATTATCAGAAAATATTAATTCAAAATGCGTTTATCATCAGTTCACATCATTATAAGTTCAAAGGACGGTGTATAAAAACAAGTTCATTTTGATTGAATAATTATGCAATATTAAAATAATTAGTGAAAATAGTTTATACAATTGTGTATGATTGTCGTTCTTTGTGTATTTCTCGGTCTAGCATAAATAGGATTAACTAGATTCATTTTGAGTATAGAAATCACTTACTTTCAAATTCTTTTTTTTTTCACAATTAAGAAAGGAAAAAGAATCAGTTTAAGTTCTGTTTTATTTAGTTTTTTTAAAAGTTAATTTTAATAGTAACTTTCATTCAAATTATATAAAAAACCTTTTATATTATTTTGGGAAGTGCCGACTTTCAAAAATAGTTACAACTAACCTACTTCGACCCTTTTGCTTTTTATAAACAACTACTACATTCATATAAATACTTTAAATTAAATCAATTAATTTAATTGTTTGTCTTCTATACATAATTATGCATTTGAGATTGTATTTGATTTCAATCAGAAAAGCAGTAGCATGAAATTAAACTCAGTTAATATACTAAAAGATTTTATTTTTGTCAAACAAGTTCTTGTCCGTTTATAAATTCTGCTGGTATGTTTTTTTGTTCTATGTCAGGTCTGCCTGTTAACTCTCATGAATATAAGGGAACAATAAACATGACGAAATCAGGATTACCTTGTCAGTTCTGGAAGGATTACCGCAGAAACCACTGGATTTCTGACTTCCCAGACTACTCTTATGAAGAAGCTCAGAACTACTGCAGGGATCCAAATAAAAAAGGGTATATATGGTGCTATACCACAAAACTTCATCTTGAAGAATGTGATTCACCAGGTTTGTTTTTTTACATGATAGACTAATGACATACTTATGTTCCAAGGAAATCAGCAATGAAAATATAAAACAATAATTATATATTTAATCGTACAATCAATAATATATCTGATTCTTTGCAAAGTTTGCAGTTGCATAAGGAAACGATACCAATTGTTGCATTTATGAACGCATAATTGTAAATAAAGGTATGTATGTATGTACAAATGTGGGGCTTCCGTGGCCGAGCGGTTAAGGTCGTTGCTTTCAAACCACTTGCTGGTCATCCTGTTGATTCGAGCTGTGCAAGTGTCGTCGGTTTCTGCATATGAAAAAGAGATCCACCTTGCTTACGCAATATCGAATAGTCTACTCAGTTGCCCTTTTATGACTGAAATAATGTACAGGGTAACCTGAGGTCTTCCCCCGCCAGTATACCTGGAAAGTCGCCGTATGACCTATACTGTGTAAGTACAACTTAACAGCTCACAAAGACAATGTATATGAATGTATTACGGAATGAAAAAAAACTATAAGAATTATCTTAAACGTTAAATAGGATTAACTAGATTCATGTTGAGTATAGAAATCACTTTCAAATTCTTTTTTTTTTCTCAATTAAGAAAGGAAAAAGAATCAGTTTAAGTTCTGTTTTATTTATTTTTTTAAAGTTGATTTAAATCGTAAATTTCATTCAAATTATATAAAAAAAACCTTTTATATTATTTTGGGAAGTGTCGATTTTCAAAAATTGTTACAACTAACCTACTTCGACCCTTTTGCTTTTTATAAAGAACTACTACATTCATATAAATACTTTAAATTAAATTAATTAATTTAATTGTTTGTCTTCTATACATAATTATGCATTTGAGATTGTATTTGATTTTAATCAGAAAAGCAGTAGCATGAAATTTAACTCAGTTAATATACTAAAAGATTTTATTTTTGTCAAATAAGTTCTTGTCCGTTTATAAATTCTGCTGGTATGTTTTTTGTTCTATGTCAGGTCTGCCTGTTAAGTCTCATGAGTATAAGGGAACAATAAACATGACCAAATCAGGATTACCTTGTCAGTTATGGAAGGATTACCGCAATTACCACGGGATTTCTCACTTCCCAGAAGGCTCTTATGAAGAAGCTCAGAACTACTGCAGGGATCCAAATGAAAAAGGGCATATATGGTGCTATACCGCAAAGCTTCGTCTTGAAGAATGTGATTCACCAGGTTTGTTTTTTTACATGATAGACTGATGACATACTTATGTTCCAAGGAAATCAGCAATGAAAATATAAAACAATAATTATATATTTAATCGTACAATCAATAATATCTGTTTCTTTGCAAAGTTTGCAGTTGCATAACGAAACGATACCAATAACGCATAATTGTAAAAAAAGGTATGTATGTACAAATGTGGGGCTTCCGTGGACGAGCAGTTAAGGTTGTTGCTTTCAAACCACTTGCTTATGACTGAGCTAATGTACAGGGTCACCTGAGGTCTTTCCCCGCCAGTATACCTGGAAAGTCGCCGTATGACCTATACTGTGTAAGTACAACGTAAAAGCTCACAAAGGCAATGTATATGAATGCATTACGGAATGAAAAAAGGAAACTATCCAAAAAAATTATTTATGTTTTTAAAATTTACATACATGGGGCATCATTCAGGTAAACGACGCGTCGGGATCCCTAAAAAAAAAGGGGGGGGTCCATTGGGTTTTAAAAAAAAGCTCGGGTAAAACCTGTGAGCGCGGGGAAAATTTCAAAAACCTTAAAACCCAAACTTTAAAGAGAACGACACTTTTAAAGGAAACCCGTTTTCCGGACCCCGACAATCCAGATGCGTCAAACAAAAATTGCTGAATCCGTTCCGGGCAAAAAGTATTCTTTGGTTGCCAGCACCAACGGTTTTCCTGAAAAAAAATTTTTTGAAAAAATTGGGGTTTTTTTTTTGGTTTTGGAAATTTTTTCTATTTTTCATAAAATTCATTTTTATTTTCCCCATTTTTTCAAAAAGGGGTCAAAAAAACAGGGAGTTGTTTAAAAACATTGCACTCAACCATTTGATCGTGGGGGTTCATTGGCTCTTCCATTCCTTGCCGTGCGTTCAGCCTTATGAAAGCCGATATATATTTCTATTAGTATGCTTTATGGATTTTCGATGAACGTTCAAGAAAAAGAACACACACACAAAGAATTAAAAAAAAACAAATCAAATCCACTATAACATTCCTGCCGTCTGATCATCATCTGCACTATTCGTTATGTATATTTTGAAAATTTCGCTAAAGTGATAAATGGTTTCGTCCGGATTGAAATTAAAGCTGGATATATGCATTTAAGGTATTAAGAATAGGAATGGTAAATATTGTAAGATTTAAAAGCTATATATAAGATAAGTGATTATAGTTTATAGTTTTAAAATTTAGTTTTACTGCATATAAATCTGTTTTTAGAAACTGCATCAGACAGGTGTTTCTCAACCCTTTCCTCATACGAAGGAAAAACATAATGAAACATACACCGGCAAGTCTTTGTCAATATTGGAACGATACAACACCTCACGACCACGACAAGTTTTCCGATTCACAGTTTCCAGATAGAAATGTTGAGGAAGCACAAAACTTTTGCCGTGATCCACACTCTGAAGGGTACCTATGGTGTTTTACAACTGATCCAGGGACACGTAATGAGCCTTGTTTGTTTGATTGTGAGTATCTTTAGTGTTCACCTCTTTTAATTTGTGTACAGTAATAAACGGAAAACCCGAAACAATCATTCAAATTCTACTATCAATCTTTCTTTTAGACAATAAGTTAAGATTTTCTAAAACTTTAAGTTTACTTTCTTGCCAAAATTCAATTAACAGTTACAGTAAGAGCTCAACATTACGTAGATCGTGTGTGCGGTTCTAATGTGAGATGGTCCATAATGAGAGGTCTGTTATACCACTAATTATATTTATAGTATCAAGTGCTTTACGTGAAAAAAACATGAACGAACCGTTCATGGCAGTCACGTTCAATTTGCATTAATACCCTTCACAGCAATGTTTTCATAGTCAAATGAAAAAAGTACCTTTCATAATATATTGTGCATCCAATTCAAAACTAAAAAGTATAGAAAAGTAATTGTAATGCACTTACGCTGACACAAAAGTAGATGAAGTTGAATGTTTGTTGAAGTCATAGTGGATTTATGTCTGACAACGTAAAGCGGACATGCATTTTTGCAGGCAGTTTTGTTGTATAAAGTAGGTTTTTGAAAAATGTGACTTTTAAAAAAGTACTGCATGTCAGTGATAATCTGCACTGAAAAATGAACAAAAACAATATAGTTTCAAATTCTGTATCATTTTGTATTATTTTCTGTCTATTTTCTGTCTATTATAACAATAATAAGGTTCTCAACAAATTATATCCTTCTGTTTTCTTTAAGATAAATACCAGCTTAAAGATACAAGCAATGTCATTGATTGGCATGGAACACCATTTGTTTGTGTTAATGGAATCGTTATACCATACGAACATGAATGTAACGGAAAAGTTGATTGTACGGATGTTTCGGACGAGAATAATTGCACAAGAGGTAAACCACCAGAGGCGAGGTTTCTTACTCCCTGAAGTGCAATGCAAGAATTTCTTTTACTCTTCTTTTCATATTAACTTTAAGTCCATACCCTTTTGACTTTATACGGCATTTAAAATAATTTCAATGCACATTGATATTTGACTTAAATTGTAATGACATAAATGACGTAATGCAATACATATTTCAGAAAGATGGACAGTATCTTATATCTTATATCTTTGAGGATAAGTATACATTTCATGGAATTACTTATTGACTTATTGATCATTAGTTGTCCGAACATTATTTCAGTTCAATTTAATAGAAAGTAAAACCACCAGAACTAAGTAATTGGTGTTAAGTTTCTTGCTCGGTGATATTTTGTGGTAAGTTTTATTGTACTTTTTATTATGATTTGTATGTTTTGATGGCTAATGACCATTATTTGGAGCATAAGTTTCTCAATCATGTTAAATGTTCATAGTTTAAATCATAATATATACATATATATATATATATATATATATATATATATATATATATATATATATATATATATATATATATATATATATATATATATATATATATATATATGTGTGGAATTGTTTTATTTTCAGGGCATAAATTATTAACAACTATGATTATACCCGAGGTAGAGCCTTTAATGTCAAGTGAAATATTGTTCCATTGTGAAAGTCATGAATGGGTTTTGATCATTGCAAGATGTGACGGTGTAATTGATTGTATGGATGCCTCTGATGAGAAGAACTGTGCAATAAACAGTTCGTTAAACGTTTTTTATCAAATTTACCTTGTCCTAATATCGTATTTATTACCATTTATTCGTTAATCTTTTTTTGTCTCATTTACCGTTGTTCTAAAATCTAATTTACCACTTAACTATAACCACATTTAATGTCAATAATCCTCAACATTTTAAAATTTTGTCAGACGTTTCAAAAGCTGTATTCACAAACTGGAAATGGCAAGGATGATAATGTTTGCAATGTCGTCAACGGGGAAAGTTGATCTTATTTCAATACATTGTTAATTATGCAATAAAAAAACTAACTTCATTCAGTTTGCCTTCTTAAATTTCAAAGAAACAACAAGAGTAATCAAAAGACTTAAATAAAAGAAGAGAATGTTCCCAGGGCCAATGTAATTGCTAATATAAATGTAAGTGATTCTTAATAAATAAATAAAAGGAAGGAAAATAATAAAAATATAGTGTTTATATTGAACAAATTGCAGACAATATCCAGTATCTTATGCTTAAATGCATATTCGCATACGCTGCTTAAGGATAATTATGTGTTGTTCGTAATAATTGAACGGTTTATTTCTTTGTTTGTCTAATCGTTTCTCATTTTTCAGTTCTGCTTCAAATCAAATCTGAATCGAAAACGTAAAACTTTTTTTTTCATTTTTCCTAACAGGTCAGAATTCCAACTGTGCTCAATATCATTTCGAATGCTTAACTGGGGGCTGCATTCATATAAGTCAAGTTTGTGACTTTATTTTCGACTGTCCGGACTCATCTGACGAAAGTTGTGGTAAGTAAATGAAACTTAGTATTGTCACGGTCTAGGCCGTGAGGTAAAAACCTTCGTTAGTGTGGTCTCTCGGTAGAGGTTTATTAATTAAGTCTGTCAAGGGAGTTGGTTGGTTCCACACAGTTTACTTCTATAGAGATTACTATTCTATGTCTACTTTGCTCATCATGTTACTTATGACTTTAACAGAACACTATCTCTACATAGATAAATAAGTTTTCTGTAACTTTTAAACACTGTTTATTCCAGTAGTCAATTGCAAGTTTATTTTTATTATAACAAAGTTACAACAACAAAACAAATGAGCACAATTGTATTTTTATCATTTAGCAACAGATTCAATACGATAATATAAATAAGTAAAAGTTTGTAGTAGAAATCATCAAGAGTTTTCAAGTCCTATTTATGTTAAACCGTTTTCTAAATTATAATTATCTTCTTTAATTTAGTGTATCTTAATGTCTAACGCGTGTACCTTCTTTAATAGTCAACACGAAAAAATAGCGTACCAGTGAACCGTGACCAAATTTAACAAGCAGTTAAATTATCTATTTCAAACAGTAAAGTGTTAATAAAAAACGTGTAATAAAGATTAAATATCTAGAAAATAGCTCAGAACTGTTTAATCTGAATAAATAAATCGTTATTTATCAAGAATAGTTTAATTACTTTAGTACGTAAAATTGCAGACGGCACTTAAATTTTTCCGCTCAAATTTGTATCTCAACTAAACGGGGTTTGCCTCTGAAGTTCTCGTCAAGACTGAGCTGTTCAACCAAAAATCCGGGCCCTTTTATACCCAGACAAATCCCAACCAAAATAAAGTGGTTGAAGTGGTTGGTTTACCAAAGTGGTTGTGGTTGGAGCCAAAAATTGGTTGGTTCGACCAAGAAATATTGGTTGATTTACCAAAACGGTTAGAAATTTAAACATAGACTCTTAGACCTATGAAATAATAAAAATGGACATAGAACATTTTGTTACAAATATTATGGCATTATCTTAAACAAGTTATACCTTTTCAACTAAGAAAATACACAAAGATCAGATCGCAGAATTTCGTCAATAAATTAGCTGTAGCCGGTCGTCCTTAGTAACGTACAATTGACAATTTATTTAATATAAAATTATATGTGGAAGTAACTGAGATGCCGGATGTTCATCAAGTAGTGGTGTTTGAGATGGAGTTTTCCTGTTTAGTTGTGGAGTATTTAATGGCTTCATTATGTAGGATTCCAGACTGTTCTTTATATCTTTTGGATTAATTGTGTCTAGCCCCTGACCAATTTTAGCTGGAGTGGGTATGTCATTCAACGTTGGCAAGAAAAGCTTGTTGCTGTTGTTGTTGTTATTCAAGTTCACTTCTGTCTATGGTAGATATGTGGTATGACTTAGAGGTACATTGTAGTTACTGGAATGACTAGTAAGGTTCTGTTATTTTAGTTGTTGTTGTTGCTGTTGTACAGCGAGTTGAGTAGCATATGGTGCCTTGTTTGCGACATAGAGCTGTGGCGAAGCGTATTGCGACGTTCGATTCCCAGCATCATAACCAGACGTTTCTGTTGCTGAAGCCTTAGAAGGAGTGCTAGTGACTAACCATTTTGGCAAAGGCAAACCACCTGACATGATGACATCATCCTCTTCTTCCTCGAATAACCCTTCCGAATCATCTAATGGGTTCTCAGATTGTGTTAAGTGCCTCCCATGCCATTGCACTGAAAGTTCTTTGCTCAGCTGTACCATGTCATCCTCTCCTATGACATAAGGTTTTTCTGCCATCTTTAGGATCTTCGCATAATCTGGTTGACCAAACCTGGTTTCCTCATCACGATGCCTAGAGTACTTCTTAATATGATCTAATAGGGACTTCTTGTCTGTGCATCTAAAAGAACATAGTGAGCACGAATAAGGAACTCTATCGAATGGCACATGGTGTTTCAGAACGTGTGACACCATTCTTCCCTTTCTATCTACCTTGCCGCATCTCACACACTTGTAGGCTCTCCCTCTACCTTTGAACTGTGTTAACGACATCTTAACTGAAAATACACAGACCAGGAAACACTCATAAAAATTTTGAAAATATGATTTGACATCTACACGGTCACTGGTACTTGTGGGGATCGGATACGTTACCGCCATGAGAATAAACTGGAAAGTACTTCTGTTCTGTACGCACGATATGTTTTATACGAATGACACGTCTGGTGATACAATACACGGTTATCCTAATTTTGGACAGTAACCATCATTTTAAATATGTCTTTCAAATATACTTAATTATTTATTGACTGTTAGTTTACTCACTGTTATAGTATACAATAAATATTCGACGCAGGAAGTCACTAATGTTAATTGTTCAACTGTTTACAATGTATCTGGTATACTGTTTTACATAAACAAGTGTTAATTACACTTCAGTTCTCTGTGTACGGATCACACATTTATATGAATATTAAGAAAAACTCATTTGCTATATAAGCATATGTCTATCATAAACAATAATATTTAACAGTTTTTACATATTTCCAATATAAAAAAGACCACTTATTAACATTTAAAATACAAATTTTGCTTTGAAATGTACTACAAAGTCAGTTTAACATATTTATATGTCATTTAGTTAATTCTTTAGTACATTGCTGGTCATTTTACAACTTTTCTTTAAAGCATCTGAAAGTCGTATAGCCCATTTTGGAGAATTGTTTCCCTGGTACTTCTTGAGTTTATTATGATGAACCATCTTTTCTGTTCCAAACTCATCTATCTGAATGATAAAGTTGATTTTTGACATTTTCACCTTGATAACATAAGGACCATTATAAGCTTTTTCAAGCTTTGGTGATACACCGACTTTTCTAACTTCATGGAGACACCATACTAGATCGCCTTCTTCATATTCAGTGAATGACATCTTGGCATCATAAATTTCTTTGTTTCTTTTGGCATTTGTTCCAAGATATTTTCTGGCTACTTCGTGTGCTTGAAGCATCTTGTTCTTAATATTTAATACATAATCCCCAAGATTATGCACTTCGCTTTCAGTCTCGTTTACATGACCAAAAACTAAGTCTGCTGGTAACCTGATTTCTCTACCAATCGTCAAAAGATTTGGAGACATTCTAGTAGACTCATGTGGAGTTGACCGATAAGCACCTGCCAAGCATCCTAGATAAAGGTCCCATTGGTCTTGTTCTCCAACTAGGTAAGCCTTCACCATCTTGACTAGGGTTTTCATGAATCGCTCAACTTGGCCATTTCCTCTTGGGTTTCTGGCACTACACCGAGTTTTCTTTATCTGCAGCATGGCACAAAGAGACTTGAACACGGAACTTTCAAACGCAGGACCTTGGTCGCTGTGAATTGCTAAGGGCGTACCCCACCTAGCAATGATATCATTCAATATTCTTAATGCACATTCTTCTGCTGACTGATTTTCCATGAACAGGCTCAATCAAACCGAGCCTGCAACATTTATAATTTTGCCGTGGTGGGCTTTCTTTAGGGATTCTGTATTTATCTATTTTATGATCACATCCGTGTTATTTGTGCCGTGTGGGGGCTGTAAAAAGTCTCCCCGTACATTTAATCAATGATGTTATATTTTCGACCCTTGAAGATCGTTCAGCACGACATTATTGTTGTGCTTGTGGTATTTTTAGGTTCAACTTTTCGGCATTTTCTAATTGGGTGGTTCCAATATTCCTACTTGAATAATGTTGAATCACCCTTAGGATATGTTGCCTGCTTTTTAAATTTGTCTTTTGACGTCTTTTATGCAGGCTTCATAACGTCTGATCCCCTTTCAAAATTCCATTTTATTTAGTTCCGCCCATTGTTTTCTCGTTTAGGGCACACGCTTTTAATTACTTGGGGACCATACGCCGCTTTTCATGGAATGGCACGGAAGTGTCACATTGAAGGTTCCATGATAACCGCCGTATGAACACATCTGCGGATGTTTCTAAATTCAAAATTTAACTATTTCACGTTTAAATGTTGAATTCTGCATAAGCCGGTGCTAGGGGGCGTGGACGGTAACTTGCACTTTCCAGTACCGTCCATGAACAGGCTCAATCAAACCGAGCCTGCAACATTTATAATTTTGCCGTGTTGGGCTTTCTTTAGGGATTCTGTATTTATCTATTTTGGGACTGCGATCACTTCTACGTACTTGGAAAAGTGATCAGTTACCACTAATATATATCTATTACTTCTAGGTGTAACTGGAAATGGACCTATGTAATCTACAGCTAACAAATCCCAAGGCGCTCCAGCTTTAAGTCTTCCTAATGGTGCTCTTGGAGGTTTTTGTGGCTTAAAATCAGCTGCACAAATGTCGCAACGTTGGATGTGTAGTCGGATGTCCTCTCTCATGTTAAACCAGTAATAATGCATTTGAATTTTAGCCTTCGTCTTGCGATTTCCAAGGTGACCACCGACTGGCGAATCATGTTCTAACTTTATAACTGTCTCTTTGTATGCTTGCGGGATAATCATCTGCGTATATTCATCAGTACCATCTTTCTTACAGAAAGTTTTGTATAATATGTTATTGGTCAAAGTCAGCGAATCCCATAAAATCCAATAATGGCGTGTTGCAGGACTCTTGTCAACCATATCTTCACTCTTTGGTTTCTGACCTTCTTGGAGGGCTTTCACAATGGGTAAAATATCTGGATCATTTCTCTGGGCTGTTTGCATGGTTTCAGGTAAACAAAAACCAAACAAATTATTTCCCCTCTTAATACTGCTCTGTAACCCACTGGTTCCTGGCTCAACTGTCCTCATGGCTTGTACCTCATCTGCAACATGATTACTTGGCTCTTGTTTACTTATGTCGTATTCCTGGTCAGAGACATTTGGATTAGGCTTAAGCGACATGATCTCAGCTATTCTTCTGCATTTTTGACAAGGGCCACATTTAAGGGGTTAACTCATATTGACTTCATTGCAGGTACAGTCTCTAGGGTTTTCGCATCTAGATAAAGCATCGCAAT